CAGCTTGGTCTTCTTTGAGAGGTACCTACTTCTTAAGTGTCGGCCAAGTCCAAAGACACATCTATTGGCAGCCGTGATCCTTCTTTGTATTTCTTGAGCCATGTCATTCTTGCTATTGATTTCAGACCCAAGGTATATAAAACTTTTCACTCTCTCAAACTTAAAAGAACCTACCTCAAATGGAGAGTTCAGATCAACCTCACCGCCAACTCTCATATACTTAGTTTTCCTCTCGTTGACTTCTAGACCAAGTGGTCTTGCAGCTGCTTCAAGGCTTATAAACGCTTCTCTGAGAGCCCGTTCAGACCTACCTACTATGTCAATATCATCAGCAAAACCAAGAAGCTGTGTCAGGCGATTGAAGATTATATCTTTGGTCTGAATACCGGAGTCTCTTACAGCTTTCTCCTCTGCCAAATTGAACAATAGACAGGCGAGGGCATCCCCTTGCCTAACCCCACTGCTCACTTTAAACTCTTCGGAGTCGTCAGAACCGACGCGTATTCTGCATCTCGAGCTGTCCATGGTCATCTTGATTAGGCGTACGAGCTTCTGAGGGATGCTTAGCTCCTCCAAGGCACAGTATAGTTGCGTTCTATCAACGCTGTCGTATGCTGCTTTAAAGTCCAGGAATAAATGGTGGGTGACTACCTTACGCTCCATAGTCTTTTCTAGGATCATCCTCAGAGAGAACAGTTGATCAGTCGTTGAGCGTCCTCTTCGAAATCCAGCCTGATATTTCCCCAGTTCCTTTTCAGAATACGGGAGGATCCTCTCAAAAAGAATGTTAGAGAGCAGCTTATAAGCACACGAAAGGAGTGAGATTCCTCGATAGTTAGCGCATTCTGTTTGATCTCCTTTCTTATGTATTGGGCAGATAATGGCTGTTGCCCATTCCGTAGGCATAGCTTCCTTCTCCCAGATGGTCAGCATTAAATCATGCAGAGCTTTCTTGAGTTCTTTACCTCCACATTTCAACAGCTCTGACTGGATTCCGTCCGGGCCTGGCGCCTTTCCATTTTTCAATTTCCTCAGGGCGTTTTCCATTTCCTCCTCATCCGGGGGTTCAATAGAATTCAGGGAGTCTTCCTTCATTACACCTACTTCTCCAGGCACCGTTCCTCTGTTTAATGCGCCTTTGAAATGTTGTACCCATCTCCTTAGTACGTCATCTTTGTGGCTTAAAAGAGTTCCATTTGTGTCTTTGCATGCCGTCACTCTGGGCCTAAAAGCTGCCCTACCCTCGTTTATTCTCTGAAAGAACAGGCGACTTTCATTTTGGCCTCGCAATGCCTCTGTGTCCTCCATGTTCTTATTTTCCCAAGCTCTTCTCTTTCCGCGGAATAATCTCTTCTCTTCGCGTCTTTTTCTTCTATATGTTTCTTGGGAGAGCCTTGTGGGACGCTGAACCTTCTTTCTGTAGGCTTCATTTTTCACTTTTACTGCTTGAAGGCACTTAGCATCAAACCATGGGGGCCTTCTAGATTTAGTCTCGTAGCCAAGAGCTTCTTCTGCTGCCTGTTTCATTGCGTTGCTGCATCTCTTCCACTGTTCATCGACCATAGAGCTGTCATTAATTACTTCTTCATTAAGTTTCGTCTCCACAGCTTGTTGATACGAATATTGGTGGTCTGAGTCCTTAAGTTTAACCACATCAATCTTCTTCTTTGGTCGTTGGTTGTGGTTTTTAATCAGCGAAATTCGTGATCTGACCTCGGCAATGCTCAAATAGTGATCCGTGTCCATTTTTGCACCTCTATAAGATCTTGCATTTATCATGTTGGACTTGTGACGGGCACTAATGAGTACATGGTCTATCTGTGATGCTGTTTGCCCATTTGGAGAGATCCATGTTGCTTTGTGGATATTCTTTCGAGGAAAAAGAGTTGTTGCAACAACCAGTCCGTGCAATGTAGCAAAGTTCACCATCCGTAGCCCATTATCATTACTGGTCTCATGCAAGCTGTGGGTTCCTATGGTCGGCATGAGTGCCACCTCCTTACCAACTTGTGCGTTAAAGTCACCAAGAATGATTTTAACATCATTTTTGGGGCAGCTTTTTTTATATATAGGAAATAAATAAGGAAAAAAAAAACACGGGTGGCGGTCATAGAATAAAATATTGGTAAAACTATTTTATTAAAAGCCAACGTTTCGATCCGACTTTGCACAGGTCTTTTTCAGGTCTGAAACGGACAACATACAAAAGGATATAGAAAATTGTGGAATATTTAGATAAAAATTATAAACAAGGTGAATAAACTTATTCAAATAATTTTAACATTATTTTAGTCTATTTATGACCTCCACTGTCAGTATTTATGAGGTCAACTGTTCAGTATTTTTTTTTTTTTTATAATTTGCATTTTACTAGTTAGTTTATTAATTTATTATAAATTCGGACTTTATATAAACTTCTATAACATTATTATTTTTTTCGCGATAAAGTTCAGCTAAGGATCGCGCGTATAACATTATTTCTTGATATTGCTTTTTGCCCAAACTGTCTTCAGGTTTTCATTCATTACCTTTTGGCGTTCTTCTGTCCATTTCATTTCTTTCTTTCTACTCTTTTCTACAAGAACCTTAATCTTATTTACTGTTCTTCTGAATTTATCCCTACTTAGGTATTCTCTTCTTTTATCCTAAGTTTTACTATGTTCAGGTATTCTTTATTGTTCTTCAGTCTCAGTACTTCGTCAAATATCTCTTTGTTTATCCTATCTCGAATTATTACCTTCATGTACCCAAAAAATGTCTATATCTTTTTCCTCATCGTTTCTAGGTCTTCGATGTCTTCATTCAATTCTTAATTCATTTTAGAAAAGTATCCCTCTCCTACATTTCTCGGCCCATGGACACACCTTAGTATCTTCCTCTACGTTTTCAGTAGCTTTTCGGTACTGGTAATTCCCACTGTTTCCATTCCATATAGGTTTAACTACTTAATATGACGTTATATCAAAACGGTATTTGTGAGAAGTGAATTAGATTGAGCCGTCAGATTCCGGTGTATAACTCTCGGGTAAAGTCGGCTGGAGTCCATTAATTGAAGTATTTTTTTCATTTGGATTAAAATATCTCCAAACCTACAAATCGGACCACCATATTGGAAGTGAGGGAAATGTTCATAATTTCATCCTCTTTGTAAAATGAGTTATTATTCAAAATTGTATCTTAACGCGACACCGTGTTAGAGGGGCGAAAAGGGAAACAAATAGTGTAACGAGTAAAAAAACCAAAGCATAACGAGTTTTATTGAAGATATGGATTAAAATATCTCCGAAGCTAAAAATCGGACGTGCATACTGTAAGCCAGAGAAATTTTCAGCATTTCATCTACTTTGTAATGAGTTATTATTTATATTTCATATTAATAACCTCGTCTTTTTGGTGTTTGCACTTTCGTGTGGTTTAACATAAGTTCTATTTTAAAAAATAACAAAAATAATTATGATTACAGTGTATTCTGGCTGCGAAATTTTTTTTTCTGGAAAACAAAATATTTATCTTTAGAGTCAACACGCACTCTATGGAATCGGCGCTGTTGGAATGGGCTGATATAGAGGCAGATCTACCGGGGGGGGGGAAGGAGGGTTTCGGTTGAAGCCCCTTCCCCCAAAAATGGTAAAATATAACCATGTTTTACAGAAAAAAACTATTAAAAACTATCTCTTAAATTATAATTGGTAATTGGTTGACTGTCGTGGATAATGAAGAGAAGAATAGTTGGGGTGTTCAGGCAAAAAGGAAGGCAAAAATAAATGATAATATTTATTTTTTTTTTTTTACATATGCCGACGTTTCGACTTTTTTTGTTCTTCCCTACCTCGCCTTTTAGGCTATACGGGATTTTCCCGGGCCGGGGGGTGAGGGCGGGGAATTTAAAATCCCCTCCGGCATCGGTACGCGAACTCGTACTTTTTATATCATCTCAAATCTCTGTTATCCGGTTGTCAGGCAACTAGCGGTGTTGTGCACACGCTTTAGCCTATTCGGCCACCCCGCCCCCATTCCGACGTTTCAACCTGAAGTTCAGGCCTTCATCAGGGCTGTCTCCTTAAGTGTCGCAGGGAGAATCCTCTTTCTGAGACAGGGAGACAGGAGAGGTAGTTAACTTCTTTCTTTTTTTTCCAAATTATTTTTATGAAGATTTATGAAAAAATAATCTATCGGGCAGAAGCCCTCCCTCCCAAAATTGAATCCAGGATCCGCTAGTGGATACAACACGTACTCTATAGAATCGCCGCTGTTGGAATGAGCTGATATAGGTGTGCAGGATAAAGGACGAATCCCTTAAAACATAATCCGGGACGACTTGAAGACGTCCCAGCTGTCAACCGAAGCGTAGATAGGAGGATTGTGTTCAGGCTGATTTTGTAGATTTGGATTTTGACAGGGTTCAGTGAAGAGATTTAACTTATGTAAAGAGAGATATTTGGTGGTTTCAATATCGAATCTCAAATTATTAATGCTACATCAAATATATCTAGTTACTATTTTCTTTTCTTAGTTTTCTTATTTATTCTTTTAACAATAATTTATATATATATATATATATATATATATATATATGTAGCTTTTGGTTAGGACTCAAATAACTATGTATAAAAGATGAATTTTTTGATAATCCGTCCCCACAAATTCAGTTACATTGTAATATCGGATTGCCAATTTGAGCTATCTCTGAAAAATATACACATTTATTGGCTTGAATGACCTCTGAACTATTATATTAATTATCGTATCCTTTTATTTGATTTTTTTTTTAATTTAAATCATGATCAATAATTTTTCTGTTTTTCATCCTCTTTAAGCTATTATTTATAATTCATATTTTATATTATCAATCTCTTGTTGATGTTATCAATTCTATCGGGTGATTTAAAACACACATCTTAGTTTTTTTTTATTTATGTCCTTCTTTCTGTATTTGATTATATCTATTTAGTTTTAATACATAATCTAATTAGGAGATATTTACTTCTCATTCTTCTATTATGTATGGAACCTCTTATCTGTTGTCCGGAGAGCATTACAGAGGTCGAACAGGTACTGCAGCGAACCTCTGAGCTGTCAGGTAGCCAGCCGAGGATGAATGAATCCTTAGGAGCTTTTTTTTACCCAAATAATGTCACTGCTTCCTGGAGTCTATTCAGACCTGTGATCATTGACAGATACTTCCATCAACTGCCTAGCCCACTGGGCAAATACTTAACCATCCAGTATAAATTAGATAATGTTATCAGTTATCATGATAAGTGTTGGGGGCTGCTTCCGCTGCGCCGTATGTACTATCCCACCGATGCCAGAGCCGCTTTGATATTTTTTTATTTTTTATTTATTTTAATGAAATTTACAACTGTATTACATGAAAAATACAACAAGTAAATGTGACATTGTTAACATATGTACAACATGAAGAGAAACTACCCATTGGTAGAACTCAAATTAAAGTTCTATATTAGAAGATCCCGAGGTCATCTTATTTTCAGACGCCTCGGAGGGTTATCAGGGATCGAGAAGCAAGGTTTGAAACGAGAGGGTTCGGATGGTTCTGCAGTTTGTTATGGAAGGATAGGTATCTGGATTCTGTCAAATCGGAAACATAAGGAACATTAAGGTAATAGATGATTTTATTTGTGACAAAGTAAGGAGCGTTGAGGATTTTACGAAGGATTTTGGATTGTAAGGATTGGATAAGAGAGGAATTCGATGATTTAGTGGAGCCCCAAAGCTCAATTCCGTAAGTCAAAATAGATCTTATTATTGTCATATATATTAGTCGTTTGTAATTGATTGAAAGCTTAGGGCGTTTGTCTAGTAAGTGCTGGAGTAGTCGAAAACATCGGGCGGTTTCTAGTCGTTGCAGTCTGGTGTGTATATTAAGTTTTAATAATATCGAATTACTGAAGCTAGTCGACTGTTTTACATATCATGGGTGATAAGTAGTCAGAATGCAGTCATTATAAAAAATTTTTATTTGTGCCAACGTTTCAACTCAAACATGTGGGTCATCGTCAGGATCACTATAGTTTATTATTTAGCATTATCGGTCGTTAATATTATCGGTAATATTATATCTCTGATAGTATTTTAAATTTTCTGCTCTGATGATGACCCATATGTTTGGGTTGAAATGTTGACACAAATAACAATAATTTTATAATGACTCCATTTTGAATAATTATTACCCTTTAGTAATATCAAATTCTGAAATCAGTTTTTTCTGTACCTACATGTTTTTTCCTTGTACGAGGTCTTATTAGATATGCATAATTCCAATTGTCATTAAAAACAAACTGTTTTTCCACATCCGTGAATTTTTATGCTTTCATCTTCACATCATAAAATTAATTTTAATAATAAAAAAATAAAAGGATAAAATACAACAGTACATTCTGTGGCTGGTCATTGTTTCTTCCTTGATTTAGGCTATGAGATCTCTCATCCAGCTCCTTTTTCTCCTCCTGATGGGCATGTCAGTCGTAGTCATGTCGTTTATAAGTCTGTTTGTGATGTCCGTGTAGTTTAAGATGAAAACGAGAGTAGAGAGTACGTATGTGTTGGTCTACAGTTGGTTGTTCTAAGTCTTTATATAAAGTACCAGGGAGCTCCTGTTATTAGTCGTGCGTATCCTTGTATCTTCAAATGATACAATTCATTTGAGAATAAAAAAATACAAGGATATGAAAAATTGTTTATTTTTAACGACAGTAGTAGTAGGGTTGTTCACAAACACACAGATCATTTTGCAAGACATGGTTGTCAGTGTATGTGACCACTATGTGTATTATCGTTTAGAACTCTGATAAACCATATCATCAATTGAGTATGTAATTTATAAGATTTATAAACTGGGAACAAACAATGAACTATTAAATAATGTATGAAGGAGTTGATCAGGGGGTTGACCGCACCCCCCGATCAACTCCTTCTCATATTATATCACGGTCAACCATTTATACATCATTATTAACTTAGGTAGGTGGGATCTAAGCGTAGACGGGAGGATAACTTCTCGGTATTCTAGCTATGCCCTGTTATTATTATTATTAATTATTCCTTAAGTCCCCAGAGGACAAAGACCCGAGGAAAGGAGGCGGTTTCTTCTACTTCGGGAGTCCTCCCCTAATCCTCATTAGAGAGAACCGGCGGGCAGTTCCTCCGAAACCTGTCTCCTCGGACCCGGCTTGGGAATTCCTCTGGGAGCCGAGAGCGGGAATAAAGGAACCCGGTCAGCTGTTCTTGTTACCTGCCTTACAATTCCAGTTCCTATATCTCAGCTAATTGGCTCTTTGTATCAATTGTTAGCAGTGCCAAATATGTTTCCTTTCTGTTACCTGGTACTCTCTAATAATTATTTAATATTTTCTAAACTAAAACTAACTAAAATATCTCTGTAATTTCTCAAAGACATTTTTTATATGCAACTTTATTAAATGTTATTACAAGCTGCCACATTTTTCTAGGTTAACAATACATTTTATAATAATAATAATAAGGCTTAGCGAACCCGAAGGTTCGATGCCGACACCACCAATCGCTTGTTACACACCTCCCTCCACCGTTCGCCGTCCAAACCCAGTCCCTTCAGATCGGCTTTAACGCAATCTTCCCACCTTCGCTTCGGTCTACCCCTCGGACGCTTACCATTCGGCACAGCAAATATTAACCTTTTAGGAATTCTCTCGTTATTAAGTCCAACAACTTTACAAGACCATTTGATTCGCCGCGATGAAATTACCTCAATTATATTACCCGGATACAGCTCACGCAATTCGGCGTTGTGTAACCGTCTGAACTCTCCGGTTAACTCATCCTTCTTCGGTCCGAATATTCTACGCAATACTTTATTTTCAACACAATACATTTTATATGCATAAAATAAAAAGAGAAATAAATATAGATAATTAAAAAAAAATTAAATAATAATATACCATGGATACGATAATAAATAATAAAATTATTTAAAAAAATTATTTTATTGAAATTTACAACTGTAAACATATATACAACCAGTAAATTTGCTATAGGAATATATTGCATGAAGGTACTTGTGTAGAAGCTACCCATTGGTAACACTTCAAAGATAAATTAATTTAGGAGGTCTCTTGGCCATCTTCTTTTCAGACGCCTTGGAGGGTTGTCAGGAATTGTGTTGGATGAAAGGTTACAAACTAGAGGATTGGGGTGACCAAACAGTTTGAAATTAAAAGAGGTATATCTATTTCGGGCCAAGTCTTCCACAAGAGGAATGTCGAGGTCTATGGATAATTTTATTTATTACACAATAAGGAGCATTTAGAATTTTACGGAAGATTTTGGATTGTAAAGCAGACCCTACACGGTAATTCATGATTGAACGTCACAAGAAGTGCCAAGATTGCCCGCGATCGCTTTGATCATTACTTATCGTTGCTGACACCAATTTAGCTCAGTTGTAAACAAAGAAACAGCATAGATATGCTTATTTGGACATTGTCATTTATAATATTGGGCATCAAGAGAAAAACGGAGATATAATAATTACTTCCTAGTGCCTGAAAATCGTTTAGACCAAAGTTGGAAAAATATAAGTCAACTACATACAAAAATATAGGAAAAGTATTGCGAAAATAATCAATTTCTTATGAAAAATGGAAAAATTAATGACAAATAAACACAACAGTTAAAGATTATTTTTGAAAAAGTAAATTGTGAAGTTTCCACTTTTTTTTCTCTTCAATTTATTGCCTACTTGACTATTTAAAAAAAAAATTGTTGAAAATGGTTAATAATAATATAGACTAGGGATATAAACAACTATTTACTTAATAACGAGACCTAGGTAAACTAACCTATCTAGTAGTAAGGTTAGTCTCATCGAAAATCGTTTTGACAAAAGTTAGTAAAATATAAGTCCACTACTTACAAAAATTAAGGAAAGGTATTGCGAAAATAATAAATTTGTTGAGGAAAATGGGAAATGAACTGATAAATATACACAACGTTAAAGTTTTTTTTTTAATTTGTTGCCCACTTGACTATTTAAAAGAAATAGTTGAAGATAGTTTTAAAATTATAAACAAGGGATATGAAAAATTATTTAACTATTTACATATAATGAAAATCAGAAATTTATAACGGTTGTGAGGCCTAGGTAACCTAACCTATCCAGCAGTGTGGTTAGTCCATTACTTTTACCTCAGTCCCCCCTCCACTTCTCGTGAATGAACCTTTGATTTCCGGATGTTCGGAAATCCGCAGCGCACCACCATCAGTACTTCATTCGCTACCTTACACGACAATTCGGAACGTCATTAGTGCAATTCCGAATGACCGTGTAGGGTCCCCTTAAGGATTGGATACGGAAAGAATTTGATGTGTTTGTAGAGCCCCAAAGCTTAATACCGTATGTCCAAGTGGGCCTAATGATGGTAGTGTAAAAGAGATTTTTGCAGAATATTGGAAGGTTAGAGCTTATGTCAAGTAGTACTCGGAATCTGTTGGCAGTTTCTTGTCTTTTAAGTCTAGTATGAGGATTCCAGGTAAGCCGTTTGTCAAGGAGCCCTAGGTAACGGATCTCTTCGACAGGAATCAGTGGAATATTAGTAAAGGATACGGTGGGAGAGGATATTGTAGGTTTACGGCGAAGGGTAAAAGTAATGTGTTGGAATTTGTTCGGATTAATTTTAATTTTCCAATTAGCACACTATTTTTCAATGGCTGAAATGTGTGACTGCAGGGTTTGCGATGCAATAGTTGGTTTATTATTGACAGACAACACATACGTGTCATCAACTTAGGTGGTGATTACGTTTGAAGGATAGGTAGGGATATCAGCTGTGTATACAATGTAAAGGATGGGACGTAAGGTGCTCCCTTGAGGAACACCAGCGGACTGAGAAAAGAGAGATGAAGAAGCGGAGTTACAATTTACTTTAAAGGTTCTATCTGTGAGGTAAGAGCGGATTAATTTGAAATATGCATGGGGCAGGAATTGACGGACAAATAACATACAAATAACAAGATAAAAATAAAAATATAAACTTTAGAAATAAGGTCGCTAAAAAGACCCACCTAAAAAAAAACTTTTCAAAAACGTTTCAATCAAAATTATTGCGACTCATAACAACAGCACTTTGGTACGTGACTAATAAAATTTTACATCTGACCTTCTCCTTTTTATAATTGACCGAAATATAACGACTCTTTATCAACGATTTTACACTAATTTAAATCGAAGTTATGTATATGTTCTTTTTATTTATTTATTTTTAGGTTATTTTATTCTTATTTATTGTATATTGTTTTTCTGTATAATTTATTTTATTTATTGTACATAGAGTATGAATGTTATCTCTGAACACTATTATAAATGTCCTTGAGACAGATTGTAATATTTTTCAATAAATAAGTTTAAAAAAAAAAATTAAATGGCCATTCCAACATAATAATAAGAGACATGGCCACAGCTGACGTACCTGAGAACATGAGGAGGAGACCAAAAAGTCGGTGGATGACAGGATCTTCCTTAAACAACCTAAGTAATTGGAACAAGTTACTTTCCTTCCCCATGTGTGTAATATTATTATTTCCCGTATCTCCAACAAATTTGCTGATTGTCAAACAGTAAGTTGGCAGGCACAAATAAATTTTTGTAGGAAAAAAAAGTTGAAAGATGTATGTACAATATTTTCATTCGCCCAGAGGATTCCGAACTAACTTTTGTCTTCCACATGTGGAACACAAAGCAGGACTTGAGACTTGAGGAGATCCCAGTGCTTCTCTCCCGAGGTCACTGGTATTGGAATTCATTGAAGGCTGAAACAGATTCAGCAGACGTTCAGGACTCGAGTGGAGAACTGACCACTGCCAGGACTCCAAAAGCATATTTACAAGATGTCTCGGGTGGATTTAATCTTTGAGGTAGATTGTAGGGATGATCCGAGCTGGTTAGGGATTGAGCTAGAGTGTTTGGATTAATGTTTGCAAGACCAAGACCAGGACCACCTAACTGTTGCAAGACCAAGACCAGGACTAGTTAAAGAAATCGATTTTTTGAATAAAATTTAAGGCAAAATAGTTACTAATAATTGCCAATCTTAGTTACTATATATAAATAATTGGTTTATCAAATATACTCTCTAATTTTTCATTAGGGCTTAGTTAGGTTTCTCCTGTCTAAAACATTACAGTAATATCTCGATAGTAATAAGCTAATAAGTAACTGCAAGACTGAGTTTGCAAGACCAAGACTCGTCTCGGTCTCGCATGTTGGCAACACTAGTTTGGATGATTGATGAGATTGTATGGTAAAAGTTCGAAAATCTGGATAGGATGATGTAGGGTCTTCTTTGTGACATAATAAGAGGCATTGTTTTTAGTACTTTGGACTGGAAAGATTGGATACGTTTGAAGTTCGAATATTCAGCTGTTTCCCACAGTTCAAGTCTAAGTAGGCTTCAGTACGGTCTTTTAGATTTTTTTTTCGAAAATTCTTTTTTGAAAAATATTAAAATAATAATACTAAAAGTAAATGTGTATAAACTAATCAAAATAACTACTTAAATGCACACATGATTTTACACAATATTTACAAAATTCGTTCTCTCAAGATCTCCGAGCCAAGCCTTTCTCCCCACTCCTGGAAGGAATGACAGGACTCTAGGAAATCCCAGCGCCTCTCACTCAGCCGCAATCTTGTAGATTAATATTATATCTTGTTTTCAATAGAAAGATGAGATGTACCATTCTCAAATACTAGTAAATAAGCAAATGTTTCGCCATTTCATGATCATATTGAATCAATTTTCACATCAATAATCATTACATTAACTAATTAAGATGCTTCCATGTATAGCAGTATTTGTTGATGGTCTTTGTTTAGCTTTCTATAATTTTTAATTTGTATTGAAATATAGTTTGAAATTTTAAAAATATATAAAAATGAGTTGGGTGGGCCAAAACAATAATATCAGCTGATCTTTTAGTTTTCAATCAGCTGCTCGAACCACAATTCAGGTTTATACATTTTTATAAATTATTCAGTAGATTGTAATTTTCTGTACAATAAATTGATTTAAATTTTATTACTTCGTTGACAATCCTTTAACAATTATTACATTTTCTTTTGGTGCTGTTTATTTTTCAAATTTAAATTTATGAATTTTGTCTCTATTTAGACCTTATTACTATTATAAATAGTTCGTGACTGGCTAAGAATTATATTATAGTCTTGTTTTTTTTTAAACTTATTTATTGAAAAATATTACAATCTGTCTCAAGGACATTTATAAAAGTGTTCAGAGATCACATTCACAATCTATGTACAATAAATAAGAATAAAATAACCTAAACCCAGTGGAGATTGAGCGAGAGTGCTATTATAGCCTTGTTTTAAGATTACAAAATAGTCACATTTGCTTATTTTTGTTTGTAATCTTCAGGGGGCTCACCCGTTTATTTTTGTTTTCACAAATATTACAGCTGCTAATATGTTAGCAAAGATGATAAGAGCTGAATTTATGTTCCCTCCATTCAAAGTGTTTGACCTAATTCCGAACAATTGTTACGAAATGATAAGATAATTTTTTTTTCGCGCTATCGCAGATATATTGCGATTCCTTGTTAGCCATGTAGCTTTGCTCCTTCGACACATAATCGAAAATAATCAATCCTTATCCGGGAAAGTCGACTGTATGTATATTATATAAACATATTTGGTTTTCTTTAGGCTTTATAAGCCTTGTAGATCTTTGGCCGTCATAACTACCTATCTTTTCCTATTGCTATTCAGTTATGCATGTATCTTACCAATATTCTTTGTATTTGTATTTACATTGCTTCACAGTGAAATTGATAAATTTCGCAGAAAAATAGAAAAAAGACACCGATGGTTACCATAAAGGAATAAAACCAGAAACTCTTCTGCAGATTTATTTATAATCTCATTTCAAATATGGTCCATACGTCAAAATGAAACGAAAGACTTTGAACAAGCGACTGAAAATACTACACTCAATTTTTTTTTCTTTCTTTTTTTTCTAAAAATTGAAAATTAGACAAAAACTAAGTACATACACTTACCTGCTCAAACCCATTTGGACATACGCCTCACAGATTTACGGTTCAGCAAAAATGACTCACAAAAACTACAATCCTTTCAATCTAAATTTTTAAGACTAATAACTGCAGCCCTCTGGTATGTCAACAACAAGACTTTACATAGCGATCTAAGACAGCCAACCATTGACCAGCAACTCACCAACGACATGACCACGGCTGAAACACTCATCAAGAGATTTTTTATTTATTTATTAATTTTTTTTATTTATTATTATTATTATTATTTTTTTTTTTGAAAGATAGTGAAATTCGCTACAAAACTATATTAAATTCATTCATTTCGGACAACTATTTACGAATTTATAGCTATTCAATTTCCAATATTAGATTACGTGTTCATATCCTGGTGTCAGAAAGGGTTGAATGAGAGTATAACTAAGTGAAATTAAGAATATCTGTTGCCCGCATCACACTAGCTTCACTATTTCATCTACTTTTAATAGAAATTATTGTGTGGCAAAATTAGGCTATGACAAAAAGTTTTTGATCAGCAATATTAGAGGGTATTGAAATTTTTACACAGATCTACCTTAAGCCGGTTTACATTGATTTAGTTTATCAAATAAATCGTACTTAAGTCATTTCGTTGATCAATTTTCAGGAAAATAAATCTTCATTTTTTTCAATTCAATAAATAATTCATTTTTTTTTTTTTTTTTTTTTTTTGTTTCTTAATGGACATATGTAAAGATATAAATGTTTTTCTGAAATAGTTAGGAAAGTCGTGTGAGTGGACACAACAGATTTTTTTACATGATTTCAATAAGCTAAGTCAAGATCGATGTATTAAGTACCCTTTGTTATACTCCTCAATATCAGACCATTCGAAGATATGATTATTGAAGTCACTTTTAATTTTGATTTATTATTTTCAATAATCAACCGTTGTGATCGACCAAAAAATTCAAAAACTTAACCCCCTCTCAAAATTTGAGGTTTCACGTTTCAGGATGCGTAGAATCCGAAAAACCAATAAAAATTTTTTTGTCCGTCCGCCGTCCTCGCATTTTCTCCGAAACTACTGGACCGATTTTTTTTCAAATTTTGATATAAAATCAGAGGTCACCCGAGGATGATCCTCCTTCATCGACATTACTATCCGCCTTTTATTTTCAAAATTGAGGCCGAAAAACCTGCGTTGCTATAGATTGTAGTTCCTAAACGAATGTACCGATTTCAATGAAACTTCGCTAAAGTCATTTTCTTGACGCCCTTTAAATTTATCTCTATATCATATTTCAACGAAAAGAAGCTGGAAGAAAAGTTACGAGGGATGGTAAAATTTAATTCAGAATAACTTAAGGAGCATACACTTTTTTGTCTATATTGTATATGGTATTTTAAAAGTTTACGGAATTTCCAAAAAAAAATCGTTAAAATCGGCATTAGAAGCAAAGATATGGTCTCCTGTTTTTTTTTTTTTATATGTTCTACTCCAAATGTTATATCCTTTGTTTGGTTTTTAAATTTTGAATGTGTTACTGAACTAATGCTATTTTTTTTTAGCATGATTTTAAAAAAATAGTTTAGTCCAATAATTGGAATCACCTTTTATTTATTTTTCTTTGTAACTAGGAAGGTAATGTTACTTTAGATATATAATTGTTTTTAAATAATAAACCATTGTGGAATAATTTGCAGAGTTTTTTTAACTAAATTTATTACTATCGATCTTAATCAAGATTTATTTTAATGAAGTAAAAATGATTTTTTTTTTCTTTATGATTCCATTCATACATGTATGATTACTGAGTCCTGTTTACTTTCCTGAAGATATCCTTTATCCTCTGCCCTACGATGATGTTGATGTCGAAGAGGACGTCGACAGCTCAGCAAAGCGATGGGGTTACGCAAGACTTACAAGAGCGCTGACTTGTGAAGATATTACCTGGGCCAAGAAGAACGCTGAGTTGGGCACCTAGAAACCTCTTTTCGATTAGGATATTTAATATAACAAAGGTTATTAGGAACAGTTTACTTCGAGGCTGATTATGAAACTCTCCTCCTTTCGTAATTTAAGTCATCAACATCTTCTGGCGAAGGTAAGGACCTCTCAGGCCAGGAATCCGTAAATAAGGACCTAAGGATATTCAACAACAATCCGATAACAATAATAGTAGTTAAGAATGACGTAGAAAATTTATTTATTTATTTATTAGTTATACATTTTCCTAACTTACAATAAATTTGCCATCTACCTAAGTCGGTATTCAGCAAATATGGTATCAAGGAGAATAGATATAGCATAAAAAAAAAAAAAGAATAGTAATAACAAAACAAAAAGACAAAAAAAAAAGAAGTAAAATATCACATGCATACAAAAAAAATAAATAAAAAAATGCAGCAAGTAGGATTATATGGATTTGTGGCAGTAGATAGAGCTTGAGTAAGTGGATTGGAATTGAGAGTCAGTCTGTCATGAAAATTATTAAAGCGGTCAGTGGCTGCGATGATAGGAGTGTTAAGGTCAGTGTGTAACGTAAGGCTTGAAACGTAAAAGGGTGCGTCTACAATTTTCCGAAGGACTTTTGACTGGAATGGAATTTTTATATTTGATGTCTTTGATGTTCCCCATAGTTCGATCCCATTTGCCCAAAGTGGTTTAATGAGGACTTTGTAAATAGTTAATTTATTAGTCACAGATAATTTAGAACGCCTGTCAAGTAGCCTAGAAAGAAGTCCGTATCCGTAAAGAAGTTCTTTTCTTTTTTGTTTCATGTGGTATGTCCATGTCAGTAGTTTGTCCAAGTGGAGACCCAAATACCGTACAGTTTTTGAAGGACAAGAGTCATGTCTAAGTGTAAATGAAACAAATTGGCTCTTAGACTCGTTCATTTTTATCCTCCACGTTTTAGCCTAATTAGCTATGTCGTCTAGGTGTTCTTGAAGTACCTGAGAAGCCTTAGCTGCATCCTTGTTAAATGTTAATATTGCCGAGTCATTAGCAAATGTAAAAAAGGAAACGCGTAGAAAAAGGAACTCAAAGTTGTACTGTGGTGTAAAATTTAAACATTTTAAATAAGTATTCATTTCCTTTCTTTTTTTTTTTCTTTTCACAAAACTAATAGTGTGCGATACAGACCCCTTTTTACCAAGTTATTAACGTCCTTCTAAAACTTGTTAATGGCTTCTTATAATCTTAACCTATTATAAAATATTTATCTACGCAAATTCTCAGAAATGTAACAATTTACAGTTTTGAATCATAGCCCATTACAGAGAGGTCTTGTTCATGAAACGATTTACAATTCTCTGGCTTACAGTATAAAGGTCCTATTTTTAGTTTTTGAAATATTTAATCCATATGCGAAAACACTTCAATTAATCGACTCCAGCCGACTTTTCCCGAACGTTACACATCGGAATCTGACCGTTCACTCTCCCCCAAAAAAGTGAAAAACCCTCCTAAAGAAGTTATTATTTCAAAAAGTTGTTTTATTTTCTGATAGTTCTTCCAGAACCTCTCTTAGTGTCAGGAATGGGAATTTAGGAATATTTTTATTCTCCTGCAACCTCACTAATTTGAGGGGAACAATTTTTTTTCTGTTTTTTGTGAATTTTCAATGAGAACTATATATAAAGGAAGGAGATGTTCCGGGGTGACGGTCATAAATAGGCTAAATAGTGACAAAACTATTTATTAAAAGCCAACGTTTCGACCCGACTTTGCAGGTCTTCTTCAGGGAGGTGTGTTCAGCAAGGAGTTTCACTTAAAACTGCTTGTGAAACTCCTAGCTGTTTCAGTTTTAAGTGAAATCACTAACTGAACAGACCTCCCTGAAGAAGACCTGCAAATTGGGGTCGAAACTTTGGCTTTTAATAAATAGTTTTGCCACTATTTAGCTTATTTATGACCTCCACCCCGGACCATCTCCTTCCATTATAATGCAACGGTCAACTATTAAATATTCAACAGAACTATATATATTTTTGGGAGGAATTTGTCAACAGGATTTGTCAGATTTTGTTAATATATTAAGATATTGGACATAATTAATGAGGTTAATAATGGAAAAAAATCTAAAAGATTAAAAGGTAGTCCGAAACATCGACCTATAAAGTGGATAGGATTTAGAATATATTTTGAAAATAATAAAAAAATAAATAAAAAATGAAAATAATATTTTAATAAAGCTTCCCATTTTTTTCCCCATAACTTCCACTTTTTTTTAGTATTATTAATATAATAAAAACTGCAATCCGAAATTAACTATAAAATATGAAAAACATAAAATATATATTTTATATACATATAATATTAATTTTAACATCCTATATATTATTTCTAAAAGGTGTTTTGTTGTCCGTACACCATAACTTCGTCAATTCTTCATCAAATCCAATGATTGACCACTCATTTTGAATATATTCTTCTCCTTAACATGCGAACAATAGTCCTACCCCCCGAAATTTCTGGAAAAAAAGTTATGAAGGAAAAGAAAGTTTATTTGCGAATAACTCAAAAAGTATGAATTTTTTTTCTCGATTGTACCCATGATAATTAGGAAGCTTACTAAGCTACCTACAAAATAAAACCAAAAATCGTAAATTGTGGGTTTATGATTGACTGTAGTGAATGATTGAAGAGAAGGTTGTGGTGTAGTGTTCAGTCAAATTGAAATGGTGAAAAATAAATAAAATTATTTGTATATATATATTATTAACCGACCGAAGGAGCAAAGAGTGTTCAAATATTTTTTAAAGGAAAACATAAGATAATTAGAAAGATTACTAAATTACATACAAAACAAAAAAAAAAGTCACTTACTTTTGGTATACTTAATAATTTCGTCCTCTTTAAAGATATTACATTTACTATTCTACTACACTTTTTTCCTGGCTGATATATTAACTTTATTATTTCTTAAAAGCATTTATTTGTTATAATAAAAAGCATTGCTTTTTTTAATGATTTAGAAAATCCTATGATTTAGGCTTTATTTTGTCTTTATTACTTTTATTATCTTTCCAGTCAGCGTATAATAATAGGTCCTAGCAAAGCAATTTGTACAAATATTTTGGTCTATTATGTTAAATAGAATATTGTAATTGACCAAGGAAAAAATAATAATTCCTTCCTTACATAATACATAGGAACTACTTATTTCCATATTGTTTTGCTATTTCTTCAGTAAACAAATTTTTTTGCGAATTATTCGCTCGGACCAACTAGTATTTTATTAATATATTTATATTATTATATATAAAAATATATAATATTAAATATTAATATCTATAAAATATATTTGTACGAAAAACATGTCCATAGAAAAAACGTTAACTACTTGCAGAAGGCAAGCTGCTCGGTGACATAATTCAACTTGCCAAGTGCTAACGAACACATACGGGCACTCAACAAAAACTACTTCACATATTGCTGCTACCATCAGAAGCGTGCTGTAGTGCAACGCTTACAACTTAACTCACACACCTCATACTTAAAATATATCGTAAAGTTAGTATTACGACAAGGAATTTGCAAATTTTGTAAAATATAAGGTAATTGTATCCAAAAGTTCCAGAAGGTCAAGAATATTCAAACTATGAAAGTTCTTTTATTACGTTGTGTAATTTTTAGAATTGTTTAAAAAATATTAATTTAAGTAAATCACTCAAACTCGAGATTTTTACTACTTTGATTTCATTCGTAATTTCTCTTAGAAAGTTCATTTATACAAAGAGAATGTCTACAGAAATATAACTCAGCTTTTGACAAATTTGTTAACATCACCCTTCCTCACAACTTTTGTGAAATTATTTCCGTTTATATCCTCTTAATATTAGTCTAATTTATAACATACTAGCTGATGTGCCCATCGTTGATGGAGGTATGGTTAAAATTTGAGAATATTTTTTTGAAATGGATATTGTATTATGGGGAGATCCAAATTTAATTTCATAATATTGGATGGGGGAAGGAGGTAATTTTAATTTTGAGTGTTTTTTCTTCCGTTTGGTTAATCCAAAAAATTATACATTTGTTATTCTAGGGAAGGTGAATCGAATGATACCTTGAAAGGGAAGATCGGACAAAGTTGGAAAATGAGTGTTTTATCCGTACATAGACAGACAAAAAAATGTTTAAAAGTGGATTTGGTGTCTACAATGTATGAAACGGTAGGATACCATAAAACGGGTTGATTCTATTCAATGTACAGACAAAGTCTTTATTTTATTTATATAGATTTACATAAATTAACAAACTGTCTATTGTCTCTTATATTATCGTTTCTTAATCGTACTCAACAAATCATAATATTTAACATATATATTTTTTTTTATTTCCTATTAATAGTTGTTATCTTGCTTACTTTACTTAGCCCTTTAATACCCATCTTAAACTTCATGAATTCCTTCATCTTGTCGTAACTTACAAATATTTTATTTACGAAAATTCTTGGGAATGGGGCTTTTTCAATCTCAAGATCCGTAAACTTTGTCTATTTAATTAATAAGACTAGCAGGCCCGTGGGAAAAATTCGCACAGCATCATGTTATCAAATGCCAAATTAATAAGAAAATTAAATAATGCGTCCTATAATAAGATAAAGTAATCAATTATTACTTTATCGTAAAATATAATCGACAAAGGAAACAAAAAATAATTTAAATCTTCATTTTTGATTGGAACCAACATATTTACAAATTTCAGTTAGCTGTATCTTTGCTAAAAATTGTTTGATTTCGATTTTTTTTTCTTTTGTAGGGAATTCAGTAATCTTTTATATGATCATGGGCGTAACCAAGGGAAAAGTGTCTAGGTTTTAAGTTATTCCCATATAAAGTTTGTTTTCTTTCATATCTTGTTTGCCTGAATTTTCGGGGTGATTGGACTATTTTGCCCGCCTGAAGGAGAAGGAAGCCTTAGAAATTGGTGGCTCAATCATGAGATTTGGTGAAGAAATTAAAGATGATATGGCTT